AGGGTACTCTCACCGGGAGGGAGGAAGCCAGGGAGAAAACTTCACCTCTGCTTTACCTACCTACCGCCTGAAGACCACGAATCTATCCAACATCAATAGTTCAAAAGGGAATCTTAAGGTTTCTAGGAGTGTTTTTCCTCAATGCATTCATGAGGCTGATAGTGAAGTGCTGCTTTGTCAGTTCCTCCTTTTTTTGTGAAATCATCTCCAAATAGAACAACAATTATTGCGCCAAATCATACAAATGTATCATAACGAAATACAAACACACAACCTCTACCAGCAGGATGGACAGAAGAAGTAGAAGGAAGGGGAAGAAAATCTTGATCTTACTTTATGTAGGCTACAAAATCATTTCACCACTCTGTGGAAAAAACAATTAGTGCGTCTCAGGGTAATAACAGAGAGCATTTCATTTAAATTCTACACTTAATGTTCCTTTTAATTAAAAACAAATTGCCTACCAGCCTTCAACTTCAATAAACGTGTTCCACCTTTAGTTCCCCATTGGTTGCATGCTTTATTGAACCACAATTAAATCTGCTATCAAATTAGGTTTACAATAGTCCCAAGCCAAGTACAAATCAAGTTTTACATGTGGAATTATTAACAAAGGGAAGATAGGAAAATGGCAAGGTTGGCAATAGACAGCCAAAACATTTTATAAAACATGTTTAAGTTATGACATCCTCAAATTATTCACAGATGTTCAAATGATTTATTCTGTTAGGGGGACTGTCGAGAATTCCTTACTTTTAGGTAATCATAAAAGACATGTTACGTCACGCTAACTGCACAGAAAACAAAGGAATATCACATACTGTATTAACACCAGATTAGAGGATATAAATGGCTGCTACTTTTTTTGACAGCTGGTTTTTCTTGCCTTGCAAATACAAATCCCAAGAGGCCTGGCAGACAGCCAGACGATCAGCTGACTACAGCACAGCAGCACGCACACAAACACACACACACTAAAATACACATACAAGCACATTTACTTTAGTATGAACTGAGGCCTCAGATACTAAGATTACGAACAAAAGGGAAACACATGTTATATATTGTTTATATACAAAGAGGATTGACTTAAAGACTTCTCAAGCATGCTTGTCCCTTTTTTACTAAAATGTGTAATTGTATTCCTCAATGCTAAAATGCAATTCAATAGAATAAATTATGTTTTTTCAGATTAAAGCCTTTTATATTTTTAGCTATTTAGCCCGAATAAAGCCTTGATTTACTGTATATACAAATATTACTTTGCCAGGCTCAGTGACAGGAGATCAGTTCCTCTTACAGCATTTTTATTGTATTTTTAGGTACTTTGACAAATGATAATAATCTATTATAAAGGTCGAACTGGCAACCTTAATTGATTAATTGTGTATATGAACATTTGACAGACACTTAATATGAATGACAGTTAGACTGTGAAATGTATGCCTGCAACGTGAGGTAGATTCCAACTATTGCAATTGTGTTTTTTTATTTATACTTTCTCTTGTACTATTTGTGTATAGTTTGTTGAGTTGGGGATCCTAGGACTTTCATTTTTATTGATTTGTATTGCCAAAGCTATGCTGTAGCTATTGTGCATGTGACAAAAAAGCATTTATTGTGTCGTAGCTCGCCTCTAATTCTGTGATCAATTCAACCCTCACCCACATTATAGCCTGTGTGACTGCTTGTGATGAAAATGCTTTACTTGCTGTACATGGTTATCTCCATATATTTATCCTGCAGTACATTAATGGATCAGAGTCCTAACACAGTGGAATGTTTTGACGTGGGATGTAGGCTGTTAAACACACGGCTGCAGAGAAAAGGCCTCGGCATCCCACAAGTGTGTTAAACATCAGCTTTAACCATCTGATGTTCCAGGAAAGTTGGGATACTATCAGTCGGAGCTCAGTGTAATCTGCTCTGCTTCCTATTTGCAGCGTCCGTCTACTATCTGCAGACCTCTCTGCTTTCAACACTGAGATCCATCATCCGTCATATTCTGAGCTGAGATCACTCGCGGAGCCCCGTTTAAGAGAGCTGTGACGGCAGCGGCCCGTCTTTGGTTGCGTTTCCACTTGGCCTAGTACCGGCTAGCGGGTCCTAATTCACAGTTTTTCTGGCCCCATAAAATCGTGGTTCTAGGGCCAGGAACAACCAGGCTGAGTCGGGCTGAGTATGCTAAACTAGAGAGAGAATCGCTGGCAAGGGAGCTACAACTACAACAAGATGAACATATTTGACCGTGATTTAATTGTAATACACGTTTCAAAATGATGCCGAAGTAACAACATACTGATACCGGTTAGTAAAAACCATGAATTAATGCTTTGTCAAGTCTGCAGACAGACAGCAGGCGAAAAACCTTTTAAAATGCGTGTTTTCTAAATGGAGATTGGCTAAGCTAACGCAGTATATGCTCCGACCGTCCACACTCACAACAACGGCCTACAGACATAAATAAAGCAGCGACTGTATTCGCCATGACACAGACAGTCTGTGGTTTGTACTTGTTTAACTTTTGTCTAGTTTCTGAACATATATGAGGAGCTGTGAGCTCTGAGTGCTAACAGCTAACGGCTGTGTTGTTTTTCTGGGGTTCTCATTGAAGATGACGTCACGGCTCCGCCTACACTGCGTTACTATAGATACTACCCCAGTTCCTAAACTGTAATGGAAATGCGCCATAAAGTGAGCCAGTCCTAACGAGGCCTAGCCATACCGAGCAAGGCCGTGTAGTGGAAATGCGCCATTATAGTCAGGTGTGCACATAACTTTTTGAGTGAGTTACTCAGATGAGTACCAGCAGACAGCGTTTGGTACTCACCCCACATGAAGCGTGGTGTTAATAAGTGCAGTCTTCCTCACTGTCCTCCTCAGTGTCTCCTTCACTGTCCTCTATTTACACTTCTTGCATGCTAGATGATGAAGATGATGAAGATGCACCTCCCTGTCTCTTTGTAAGCCTCCAATTTGCTTTCTCCAAAACTTGTTGCCAAAACTGTGAAGTCCTTGCATTTCCTGAGGCCAAGTTGAAGGATCAAATACTAAGAAATTATCACATGACTTGAAGTCATATCTGATTTCAGAGGTGGGAAGTAACAAAGTACACTTATTCAAGTACTGTACTTAGGTACAATTTAAGATACTTGTAGTTTACTTGAGTATTTCTATTTTATGCTACTTTGTACTTCTACTCCACTACAGTTCAGAGGTAAATCATGTACTTTTCTTCCACTACATTTATTTAATACCTTTAGTTACTTTACAGATGTGGATGAATGATGTGAAAATATAATCAAGTGTTAAATCAGACTTTAGTTCCACCTGGAGTAAATCCACAAGCTACCCTGCAGTATACAAAGTCATTCAAACTAATTTTTAAACACTTTAATGATCAATAATTATAAAACATATCATATACATTATTATGAAATGGACCAATCTGCAAAATGACTACTTTTACTGTCGCTACTTTAACTAGATTTTGATGATAATATACTTTTCTAATTTTACTTGAGTAACACTTCTTCCACCTCTGTCTGATTTCAAACTCTTCCATTAACAGCCTGAGTAAGTTTGCAGGCAGCTGTGTGTTTTACTCCACTTTGTTGTAAATAAAACTGCAGCAGCTTGACCACAGAGCGTGAACGTTGTGATCAGCTGATTTTGCGCAGTTCTCCAGTGTGTGCGCGGGGCACAGAATGTGCACAGGGGAGTCTCCCACCGCAGCCAGTTGACGTAGTTTTGGTACAATTCTGTTGTACACACCGACGTTAACAGCAGCTCCGTCTGTGCACACGGCGACCAACTCTGTCGTCCAGTGATCTAAGCCTCTTTCTCCTGTGAAGCTTCACAGGTCCGTCGGTTATGCCCTGCGCGGCACGGCCAGCACCCAGTTCAATCAGTCATAGAAAGTCTGAAGATTTTAGCAGGGAGCGAAACGGCAAAGTGGCTGCTTAATGTCTTTGTTTTTTTTGGACATGTCTAATAATTTACTCCACTGAGTATTGACAAGAAACATGTGTAGGCGAAATATGTGTTTTGTTTTGATGACCTATCAGGTACGCAAAGGCGCGTTGTGACACAAGTGACGTTACGCATTTCAGATTGTTGCCGCGCATGCGTACCTGCGTACCAGTTATGTGCACCCCTGATTATAGTCCTCTCCCTCATGTCATAAAAAGTCCATCAAACACTGAAAATAACCGGCTTGTTGACTCCATATACTGCATGCATATTGAACCAGAACTACAACAGGGCTTAGCTGATTACCAACCTCTTATGCATCATTAAAACTGGAAACCTAATCCCTTTGTTTTAAATGTACGACCACAGAGGGCAGAAACATGAGTCCCACAAGCAGATGGGCAAAGCCGGGATCATGATATCCTCCATGTTATGTTATGCAAATATTAGACATAGAAGCATGCCAATCTAATTACTGTAAGGGGCTTATTGCTTATTTATTATATGCACAGTAGGGATGAAAGATATTTGAAAAAAAGACAGAAACTCCCTGTGTTATGAAATACTATTTTCAGCACTCTAAAAGAAGATGTTCTCAATTTTAAGTTTCTTTTATCTTCGTGGCGCATTTTACCTTTGATGCAAAAACCACACACCTCTTTGCACCTTGCAACCAGTCATTCATTCAGCTCCCAAAACCACACCAAACTCTGGCATCACTTTCTCCACTGTCGGAGCCAAAGATCTGTCATCCAAAAGAGATCAACACTTTGGCAGCAAGAGGCATGCAGGTGCTCTGCAGGGGACTGCTATCTTTCCTACTGAAGAGGCCCTATTATGTTCAGGGTTTTTCCTGTAGTGTGTTCTATAGGTGTTTGTGCATGTAAACGGTCTGCAAAGGATAACATCCCTGCAGAGGGAGTTTCTCTCCCACACAGTAAGGTCTTTTAGTTGTGCAGCTTTCTAAGTCTGGTGCAAATAAATCTCTTTAATCTCACTTTATACATTATCATATCATCAAAACTGACCTGTGGCAGAGCGGTGTTGAGTTGTCTCTGCAGGGAGTCTCTTTCGTGGCTGACTTCGTGCAGTTTGCCTTGCGTCAGGCCCAGATTCTCCTGCGTCTCTCTCAGAGTGTCCAGAAGACGATCCCTCTCCTCCAGCATGGACACCATCAGCGACTCAAAGTGACCTTCAGAGTCCGACTGCAGCGGGGAGCCCGAGCCCCGACGCCCGCCGCCCCCCTCCGACTCGCTGATGGTGGGCATCACCTCGCACATCATCTGCAGCCAGGGATGGACAGGGAAAAGGAGATAAAAAGAGGAGAAACAGTTTAGAGTTAGAATAAAGGCATGAAGATATTTAGAAAAGTATGAAGCAGTCAGGACGGAAAGTCAGTTAACTGCAACATTTCAGTATGAAAGCTAGAGCGGCAAATTAATCAACATCTTAAAGAAATTGGAATATGGACTAGCGCAATATTGAAATCGAAGAAAGCTCAATATTTGTTTAAGGCTAAATAAAAACATTCTCGGACTTACTTAACATATGTACAGTATTTTATAGTGGATTTGATTTTCGTTGAAGTTAAGTGGCTGAAAAAACGTCTCATATCAAATCTAAAATATCATCAAACCCTTTAACACAATGTCACTTTTCAATGTTGTGCAGCCCTAATTCATGCTCAATATTCAATTATGTAAAAGCCAGAACACAAATCTATAAAATGCCGATATTACTCCCGTCCAAGGAAAGTTCAGTTTGTAGCTTATTGGTTGGACTTTTCGTACGTCTTTCATTCATTCTCCTCCCCAAAAGCTAAATCAATGTACACCGGTAAAAAAGTGTCGGGCTAAAAGATTGCTGTCGTAAACAAATAATCTTAGGGTATAAAGTTACACCGTTTTCCTTCAAATTACGAATACATTAAAAAAACAACAGTTCGAAATTCATTGGAGCTTAATTGTAAATTAAAGTGGTTTACAACCTGGGTTTTAAAGTGGCTTATGTTCTAAAGCAGACCCCCCCTCTTGACAGATTTGAGATAACACAGAAGACAGAGGGCAAGTAAAGTGCATCGCTGGGGTGATTTTATCAGCATACTTTGCAGACACCAAAGCATTGGCTATTACGAAAGTTTACTGACAAAGCAGAAGAGAACACTTACTGATGATTATAATGGTTAACTAGAGTAGACAGTCAAGTTAACCTACATTGGTACTGTTGTGAAATAACTGTGAGCTTTAAATCAATTAAGAAAGCTGTGTTTGTGTCTGGAGTTTGTTGGGTAATGTTGCATCTAACAACAGCTGTGCAGGAAGGTCTGCAGAATTAGAGCCACTCTCCACACCAAGGAGCTTAGGACCTGTAGACAGACTGCTAGACAAAAAGCCAAGAATCATGTGAGCTGGATTTAAAATACCTACAAGGAATAACGACTTATAAATTAGAACAAGTGCAGTGGGGAACTCAGTGGGAGCCAGAGCAAGGCTACCACTTCATCTTAAGCAGCGCCAAAATGCCAAAAGCCATTTGCTTTCAGAAACTGTTTTTCGGTTCAGTGCACCAACACTTAACTGTATCTCACAAAAAGAGCTGGACCATACCTGATACACTCAAATTAACTAGATAGAAATCAACCTGCCATCCTTAATTAATTATCACAATGCATGTTTTAGATAGACCCTATTTCTGTGGAAGGAGGGAAATGTAACCTAATTTAACAGTAATAAAAATACAAACCATCACTGCATATCGAGGTCAGGCCATTCAGGGCTCAACAATGTTTATGAGGGGGAGGGTCACACAGCATCCATGAGAGGGAGTGACAGATGGTGGGTCCAGTGTAACTCAGCACAGACATTATAACGTCAAAAGGTAAAGATGACAACCTCCAGAAGCTAAATAGATTTCAGCTTAAAACCCTTTTTAGCCAGGTGCATCTATTTCCATTGGACGAGGATGCTAACTGAGAGGCAAATCTGGCCAAACTAGGACTAAAGGCTGCACCACTTGTGACTCAATGAGTAATTTGTGCTTGTGATTTTAAAATAATCAAATTAACTTTAGATTAGGTTGGAACATTCTGCAGTTCCTGTAATGGGTTTTTAAAGAAGCCAACAACTGAAGTACAGTTCTATCAGTGTTATCCACTATGATAAAATCAAGAAAAACGATGGGTCACTTCTAATACAAACCACCCACATCTGACACTTACCCACAGCCAGTCCATAGACACTATACATTACATTGATGCAAACTATGCAGACAATACATTTGTATTTAATTAATGTCAGTCCTTCACGCCCCTCCGAAAATATTGCACATCTGTATACGAAGCTACATCTTTAAATATCTGCACAGCTTTTCACTTTTCGTCACAATACTGCACATACTTTTTTCAATATTTCATGTAAATATTTCTCTATATTTTAATGTTTTTTCTATAATTGCTTTACTTTTTTGTTAATTTTCTTTCAATGTGTATCACTGTGTTTAGGTATGCACCATGTACACCAAGGCACATTCCTCGCATGTGCAAACCATACTTGGCAGTAAACATGTTTCTGATTCAGATTTTTACTTTTGATTTCTATATTATCTGCCTAAAGATGTGAACCTCTCACCTTTGAAGAATGTAGTTATTCCAACAGCCTTTGTAATCCACGTTACTTTATGATGCCAAGTAAATGTCAACAAAGTCCAGGTACTCCAATCGTGTGTTACAACCTTTACAAATATCCTTTAGAATATAAAATCCATTCCCAGGCAGGGATGTAATAAGGCTGTCAAAAAACGAGTCTTCTGGGTGAAAAAAAGAGGGGATAATTTCCTAAAGGCCTCAAAGAGAAACCCACATCAAGTGAGCAGAGGGACAGTTTTCCAAGTTTGGCCGGCTAACCCAACGTTAGCAAGCTATCATTAAGTAAGCTTGCATATCTAGATTTGGAAGTAAAGTGTCTTATTTTTGCTTTTCAAACAAACGAACATTACGTTTAACCAGCTGGTAATAAAATATGACACCAGCTAGAAATGTGATGGTACAGTAAGGTTAGGTGGAAACAGTTGTAGCCCGGCTAGCCTTAGCTAATTTGAAACAGAATTCTTTGGCAGTTTTAAAGTCGACAGCTAGCCAATGTTAGCTACTAGCCAGCTAGGTAGCTAACGGTTGCTAGATTAGGACTAACTTCTAAAGATACTCTCTATTCCATATAAAAGTAGACAACATGGTAAAACATCTCATAGCTATTCATCTTACATTATCGAAAATATTAATTTAAAAATAGGTTTTAAAAGCTCTGCTAAAAGTGATTAATCTATCAAGTAGCTATGAAGTTAGCCGCTGAGCTAACGTTAGCTTCCCGTCGCGTCACCACATCATCACAAACTTCCAGCTAACATTGAAACGTTAGCGATGCTTTGATCCGTTTGGAAAACCCCAAACCGCAAATAAAAACGTTATAATCCCTTCGTGTCCGTCCGAGTTGGTGGTGTTGTCTCGGTTTTTCCCCCCAAAAAGGTCCTTGAGTCCGGTCCTTCCCTGTCGCCTCTTGCCTGCCAGCCTCGGCAGTCGGGACACTCTGAAGCTAGCTCTGTTAGCATTAGCCTGGAAGAGATACAGGTCTGCAACAGGAGGAAAAGGGAGAGCAGTTCCTGAAGACACGAAACAGAGTATAAAGTGAAATGTGCAATAAGACCAGAAAATAAAAATAAAATAATACACATTTATACAAACCTAAGAAGTTGGAGTAAAACATGTGATGTGCAGCAAGAAGATATAAAACAACAACACACTTAAAAAAGAAATTGAATATATAAGAAGTTAAAATAAATATAAAATAGAATAATGCATATTTATATAAACCTAAGAAGTTAAAGTGAAAATGTGCAATAAGACAATAACATTAAATATAATAATACATATTTATACAAACGTAAGAAGTTTAAGTATGTGCAATTAGGCCATAAAATGAGAAACAGGAGGAAATGGAAGAGCAGCATTTCCACTTCAGGTGGAAAATCCTTCAAATGGAAGAATGACCTGAAACCACGGTTTGCATCATAGACTGTATAAAGGTTTGCATACATACAATGACATGTGTTTCTGTCATCGGTCTGGAATGTTTTTAAATGCTAAATAAAAGCTTGATAAAAAACAAAACAAGTTAAAATGTGCATTAAGACGATAAAAATAATACAAATGTGTATATAATCATAAGAAATAAAAGTTAAAATGTGCAATAAAATGATAAAATTAAATAAAAATAACTTTCTAAAGATAAGAAGTGAAGGAAATAATGTGCAATAAGAAGATAAAATACAATATAATATTTGTAATTTTTATTTTATAATAATATGTAGAAATGTTCACATTGTGCTTAAATATATACAAATAATCAATATGTTAAAGGTGGGGTAGGTAAGTTTGAGAAACCGGCTCGAGATCGCTAGAATTTGAAAATACACAACCGGAGAAAATCTGCCACTTCCTTATAGAGCCCCTCCTCCAACACACACGAACGCGCACATGACCAATGAGGGCACGGATAAGTTTGTGCCCCGATGAAAGGCTGACAGGCAGGTAGGCCATCCAGTTATTTTAGCCGGCCGGCTAAAATGATTGGTCGTACTTTTTACAGTATTACCGCTTCCACAGATGAACATTTTTTATGAATTTTTTGTCAAAGCACTTAAGATATTCATTGCTATCGGGATGTTAAGAGCATTCCATGGAATATAACAAAAAGTGTATCTCGAGCCGGTTTCTCAAACTTACCTACCCCACCTTTAAAATGTGTATATCAAAATATATACAGTGATTTTTAAGTATTAATAAAACCAGAATTTTGCTTGAATAGTACGCGGTGTAATATTGTATATTTTGTAATTTTATGTTACATTGGGCATTTGAATTATGTTAGATAAAATATCTGATAACTATTATGTTGGTTTCACAATAAAGAGAATAGTGGCGCCATCGTGTGGCATATCAACAGAATAATACATAATGCAGAATCTCTACATTATAATGTTACTGAGAGGATTCAATTACCACGGGCCGTTTCTACAACTGAACGTTAGCTTAAATATGGGTTTAAAAACCTTATAATTGCAATAATTTGACAAATGGGACTGTTTTCATTCAATCGCTGAAACCTCAAAGTAATCTACTCTTTATAATCAGGATTTATAAACTTATGTTATATCAAGTTGTTTTATTAAAGGTGGGGTAGGTAAGTTTGAGAAACCGGCTCGAGATACACTTTTTGTTATATTCCATGGAATGCTCTTAACATCCCGATAGCAATGAATATCTTAAGTGCTTTGACAAAAAATCCATAAAAAAATGTCATCTGTGGAAGCCGTAGTACTGTAAAAAGTACGACCAATTACGAGCTAATTATTTTAGCCGGCCCGGCTAAAATAACTGGATGGCCTACCTGCCTGTCAGCCTTCCATCTGTGCACAAACTTATCTCGTGCCCTCATTGGTCATGTGCGCGTTCGTGTGTGTTGGAGGAGGGGCTCTGTAAGGAAGTGGCAGATTTTTTCCGGCTGTGTATTTTCAAATTCCAGCGCACTCGAGCTGGTTTCTCCAAAATGACCTACCCCACCTTTAAACAATTTTCTCCCTCATATCTATATGACAACTTTCCTTTACCAGTCATCTTCAACAGTAAATAAATACAGAGCTCAATCCCAGGTCAAATGCACACTAAAGGGTAATAATGAGGTTCAGTAACAGGAAAGCATACCAAACTAGAGAATGCAATTCCTGAAAAAATTGCTAGTGGGAATGCTTTATGCTGAAAATCTGACGCTAAACTGCTGTGCTGAAATGTAATGTGTAAGGAGAAAGTGAAGAATTTAGATTGAAATGATACATGAACACTGGGGGCTTGAATGTGTGATGAGAGAAGAAAAGAAAGTAAAAAGGCTTGGAAAAGCAGCAGAATATTTGAACTGCAAACTTTTTAACTAACTTGATGGTGAATGATCTGTCGCCATGCCAACGGCATTTGATGACATCCCATAATACGCTTAGATGCGGGCTGCATCGTTACCAAACCTGTGAAGTTTTGGGCCATTTGGAGCATTTTCACTGAAGTTATGAGAAAACCGTGTTTCATGGCGGGCATTGTGTTGCCATGGCAATGGCATGTCACGTAGATGTCTTCACGGCTGGACTGTTAGCACACATGTGAAGTTTGAGCACTTTTTGAACATTTTCATAGGAGTTATAGCGACATCGTGTTTTATGGCGAGGGATGCGTTTCCATGGAAACGGCATTTGGTGAGATCTCAGATTTGGCGTAGAGCTGTTGAGGCATGGGCTGGTGATATACAAGTGAAGATTGGGGGACGATTGGACCGTGTCCATTGGACTTACAGCGACATCGTGTTTCATGGCGAGTGGTCTGTCGCCATGGCAATGGCATTTGATGACACCCCATAATACACTTAGATGCGTTGATGGCTGCATCGTTACCAAACCTGTGAAGTTTTGGGCCGTTTGGAGCATTTTTACTGAAGTTATGAGAAAACCGTGTTTCATGGCGAGCATTGTGTTGCCATGGCAACGGCATTTGAAGAAATCTCAAAACTGTCCCGTAGATGTCTTCACGGCTGGACTGTTAGCACACATGTGAAGTTTGAGCAGTTTTTGAACATTTTCATAGGAGTTCATGTATAGCGACATCGTCTTTTAATGGCGAGGGATGCGTTTCCATGGAAACGGCATATGATGACACCCCATAATTGACGTAGAGCTGTTGAGGGCAGGACCATTAACCATTATCTGAAGTCTGCTGCTCTGAGCATGTCAGTTGGAGTTATGACATCATCGTGTTCCATGACACAGGTGTTTATATTTGAGCTAACGAGGTGTCCAGAGATCAAAGGTTTCCATTGTTCTGAATGAGAGATAAACCTCTTACATGTGAACGTTTTGTTGAAGAACCGTAACAGATATCGGTGAAATTTCAAAGCGTGAAGCATCTCAAGGACCTTGAGTATCTGAAGTGTGCTTTTTGTGTACTTTCGGGTCAATAATGTGGCCTTTTTGGCAGTTTAACTAAAGGTGTGCGGCTGCTGCTGTGAGGAAATATCAGCCTGAAATTACAATGAGCTTTAATCATGCCCTCATGCCCTCAAGAGGCATTTTGTTTAATTATTTTTGCTTAATTATTTGTCATTTTTCAAGCTACGAGATGTTTTCCTACGTTTGTCATGAAAAATTATGTCTCAGGAATGTAGGGTTTGGGAATTATGGCAGGTTTAAAAAATAATATGAAGGCAAATTTCAAGCTGTCCTACTCTCTAGCTGTGACATCACGCACTCTAGTTAATGTTAAAATCTGAAGAAGGCCTCTTTACCAAGGTCTGAACAATGTTTAATATCTCTAAAAGTAAGAATCAGATTTAAAAGTTGTGTTACACGAATAATGTCAGAAAGATGTGTAACATTTTAAAGTTGGAATGAGGTTTCTGAGTGAAAGTATGAAGGAACAGTTAGCAGTTGAAGTCGCATGAAGATTGTTCAAGTCTGAAGATTTTCTCCATTGACTTCAATGGTTAAAAATGTGATGAATTATGGGATATATCTCGGGAATTATGAAAGTTATGAATGAGAAAAGTAATAGCCATCGATTCCCATCGAGCTGAACGTTTTGATGTTTGAACGGACTTTCTGCGATGTGGAATGTGGGAGAAGAAGGCCGGCAAAATAACGGGTGGAATAATAAGAATAAAGAATTTCGTGCGTAGAAGAACAGATAGTTAGAATGCTGTTAACAGCATTCCCACTAAATAATGCCATTTGTATTATAATAAATAATCTATCCAAGATGTGTGTTTGGTGCAAGAGAGAAAGAGAAATAAATTGGACAAAAGCAAAAGAGATTTGAGAGAGTTTTTATTGATACATTAAGCCTAAATGAGTTAGGATAAGGAGGAACAATTACGTTTGACATGTACTATTAACATTAAGCATTATAATGATTGGATACACATATCAATCAAGTTTTAAATCATAACGGAGTACATGATAGAAGAATCACAAGCTACATAGGATTACACTGTAAACGGTGGTTAACACCACAATAAACACCACTTATAACCCATAAGGCACAAATGAAGACTCATTATCTGATAGCATTAAAAAACAAGAAGCTTAATGTAGTCAAATGCAACCGATAAAAAAATGGGTAGCAGATGGCGGCTTTCTTAGTTTTCAATAGAGGGCAACGGTTGGTATTTGACCTTTGATGCTCTGACTTTGTACAGGGCCACTGCACTGATCATACCAACGGCTGCAAGAAGACATCCAACGATGAAAACCAGGTTCAGATTCAGGGGGGTCGCTGGAGAGAAAGAGAAGCATTATTTGAATTTGACATTTCCAAAGACTAACTCCTCAGAGGACGTGGTCGAATTGTCTTATTAGTTCAGGAAGGTTTCTTACAGAGTGAAATGACCCGAGTTCCTAAGTGGCATCCATGATAACAGCTTTTTAAAATCTCGATCATAGGAAAGGAGCTTCAATGCTTGATATCTCCTTTAGGATACACTGGAAAATCCTGTCCCACAATACCTAAGGCCCATCACGTTTTTCACTAAGGTTAGAACCTAATCTGCTCATTCTCATATCAGTATCTAGTGTCTCTACTGGGACATGTCTCCATGCTTTAATATTCAAAAAGCTCTTTATTTTTCTCATACTGTCTGTGCTGCAGCACCTCTTTTCACCCTCTGTCTGAAACCAGAGCCCAGTCTGCTCTGATTGGTTAGCTGGCCGTCTCTGTTGTGATTAGTCAACCGCTTAGCGATGTCCCGCCCCTTAGCCTATCACATAGAATGTGTTGCAGCGCCAGCCAATATGAGCGCAAGTGTTACATAGTGATGTCACTATGTTCCAGTAGTCCCGTTAAGGAAAAGTGGTTAGGAAAAGACATAGGACCTAATTTTCACTTTTCAACCGTAGCCTCAAAGTAGGCAGGTGTTCTGAGGGAAAACGTACCTGGGCTCCCGGTGCTCTCCGCTGATCTCTTCAAACGCAGTGGACCCTGGGAAATGAAGTGCCTGGCGCTCTGAGTGATAGCCTCTCTCTTGCGGTGATGATGATGATGCCCAGCAAGGCGGGAGTTGATGCACCCCTGTGAGCACCTGGTGCCGCTGCTCCCTGCCTCACACATCAGCACTGAACAGCTGATGTACACCTGAACGCAATACAACACGCTGTCATTACATCAGCAGATATACAGACTTTTCTTCAAGTGGAGAAATAAAAGAGCTGAGGTTGGATCAAAGACAAAATATATTGACACGTTGTACTTTTACTTTAGTAAAAATGTCAGACTACATGCAACAGAGTATTCCTACACTGTGGTATTAATTATTTGTATTAAGTAAAAGATAAGAGAGTATAGCCACATATGAAATTCTTCACCTGGTCGTGCAAGCCGATGAACTGGAAGGCCTCCATGCTGAACCTGAACTGTCTCGGGTTGGCCCTCGGATGCACCTGAACCGTTTGGTCCAAATTACACCTAACAACAAAAATAAAAGTTAAGAAATATTGCTGTGAGTCCATGCCTCACAATTGGTAATTGCTAAAATTGGTAATCTAATGCTAATTTAGATACATTAAAAGGAAATCAATTCAGACACCAATAGCCACATTTGGTGTAATGTATTTTTGGAAGCCTTTTTCAAAAGATTTGAAACATAGTCGTTTTTTTCTTTTTTCGTTCTTTTGTTTTTTACAAAAGTGTGTACCTGATGGAGGACTGCAGATGGAAATGAGTTAAAAGCAAGCATAAATGTTCTCTTTTTGAGATTAGTGTATTTGTATTTATGGTCCTTGTTCAATAAAGACTATAATAATAATAATTGTTTTGCCTGATTAAATCCCATATTAATCCAATGCCTGAAAACATCTCATTGCCACCTACGGGCAGTTTAGTTACAAACCTCTGACATAGCACATCTTTCCCAATGCATAGTTATGTCCCCTGTTGCCACTAGATGGCGTGCTCATGCCTACCCATTCTCGATGATGGAGTATGTTGGCCAGTAGTTGGGGGTGTCATATGGCGCCGCGCTGCAGGACTCCACAAACAGCTGGGTGTTGTTGACGGTAGATTTGGCCTCTATCTGCATGTAGATCCTGTTCTTCACATCGTACTCCAGAGGGTACAGCCCTGGATCAATCATTTGTCTATATCGGATGTCTGGGTAGAACTCAAACTCGTAGGTGAACTTTCCAAAGCCTTTATCCCACACCACCACATTCCTCCTGTGTGCTGTGAAGCCCTGCGTCACGTTCCCACGTTTGGGGTACTGGCAGTAGAACTGGACCTCCAGCAGGTGGTTCCTGGTGATCAGGTCGTGTACGTTGTCCACCGTGGTGATTTCATTTTTGAAAACCAGGTTTTCCTCATCTTCCTGCAGAGTTAAAGGGGACATATTGTGTTCACGTTCATATGTGTATTTGGGGTTTCTACTAGAACCTGTTTACATGCTTTAATGTCTAAAACATTGTAATTTTACTTATACTGACGACTATTTTATAAGACCCAGTCCCCGAAAAAATGTGCTGCAGGTGACACAGGAGGTTGTACCGAAACCGTCCGAAACACTGTAAAAACTGTTACTTTGGTAAAACTTGAAAAAATGAGGCAACAGTTTCAAGCAATTTTATGAGTTGTTGTGAACTTTTGCATTTCTTTTGTTGGTTAAACTGACTTTTGTAGTTTGCCTGAATGTGTTTCTTTCCTAGGCAGGTTGGATGGCACCCCTGATACCCAAATGTGTCTGCACAAGCACTAATAACTGAGTTTTTCATTCTCCTAATAAAATGTAGTTTAGAGAAAAAACCGGCAGGTGATGAAACAGATGCTCTATTGTTACCTCGATCTGAGTGCCGCAGGCGTTGAGGGGTACGATGGCGACGATGTGCGTGCTGTTGGAGTTTGTGTGCAGGTCGCAGGCCGTGTTGCTGGGGTCATTGAGGCGTAAATGATCCTCATGAAGTCCAGGGAGAGAAGATCTGTTAACCTCTACCGTCATTGAGGACTCATGGCAGGTCACATGGGATTCAACTAGAGCAAGAGATAAATAGTTTACAAAATAAATACACATTACACTAATGGTTCTAGTCTACAGGTGGCAGTAACGCTCCAGAACAGACAAGAAGAAGACTGCAAAGCTAGTTAACAAAGATTTATATTGACTTGTTTGCTCCTTAAATATTGTTTCACCAAAAAGAAAGAAAGTTTTCAGTTCATATAAATTCAGGACATGGGTGGTGTTTTTCGCCTACAGTAATGGGTTTGATTTGATCAAACACAACGGCCTTGCAAAAGTCCATGAAGCCACTAATGGAATTTAACATTTTGGTTATAATATAAACGCCTTTCCAGTTGTAGTTCTACTATAAAATGTTGACGTTAAACAAAAATTGTTCTTACTTAGTCTTTTACCGATGTTCACCAGAACGCACCTCATCTCCGACTGATAGATGCCGGGCCTGAAAAGAATCAGTGACCAAAGATTTATTTTGAATCATTTTTTTTTTAAGGAGTAATGCCTGTTACTCATTCAGTAAGGCATAAATGTCTTATCAAACCATCACAGGTGTTTGAATTGTAGGTAACTTTAACCTCATACTCACTAAAATCAATATGTAGACGATTTATTTGTTTATGTCAATGTCTCTGGCAGAAGCAATCATCAATTGGGATTTCTAACTTTTAAACACATTTGCATCTGACTTCTGTATTCTTTCAATCTTAATATGTTTCTTAGTCGTTCATAGCTTTTTAAGATTTTGAAAAAGATCAAACTGTTACTTACTCTGGAGATTGGGTGACGTGGTAATGGTAACCGTAATAAATGGTGGTTTGAGGGGGGAGAGTAGAGGCGGGACTGTAAAATGTGTGAAAAGTGAAATCAGTATTACACACACACACATGCACACTAATTGTATCAAATAGAAAATAACTGTAAGGCTCACTCACTCATTTACTGATTCAACAGCAAAGCAGATTGGGTAATGATCCCCCATATCATCAGGGCCAGGCGTCCACCTAATGACAAAGTCTCCATGTGTGCTTCTGTGCTTGGTGATATTCAGTGGCCCACTGATGATGATATCATGTAGTCTGTGTGAAAACAAAAGAAAGAAACCAGATATTTCCTCCTTATCGCTGAAGTTTTCTCACTAGCAGAAATTATGATAATGTTCTGACGCCACAAGGCAATACTCATCACGTTGATTCTCACTTACGTTGCATGTGAAGCTTTTGCTCGTACTCTGATCTCCACTTCTTTGTTGACCTCAGCATTGATGTGTTGTCCATTTTCAGGTGTTGGGTGCACAAACTTTGGCAAGTAGAGTCCATCAACACACGAGGGAGCAGGTGGGTCCACTGCAGTTAAAAAGTGCAATAGTTCTTTTGGAGTTCTTGATCAGTTCTTAAAACCACTTTGTCATTGTCTATGTCTCAAAACATTAAAGCTGTGTCACAGCAGATTATATTCATTAGCTGTCAAAGGCAAAATATCTACAGGTTAGGGTTTTGAAGAGGGAAATACAAAAATTGCTATGTTACAATTACGGCTTTTCCACTAGTTTGTGCGGATTGTTGCAGAACGCTGTGAGGCCGTATTATCGCTGACATTTTACCGCACCCCCATTCATTTTCAAATGAAGCCCATCTTCAAAACCATAATTGTTAGTTCCTTGATTATGGCCTCTTGTTAAGGCACCGACACATAGACAACATGTTGAAAATTATTTCTAAAAATAAGAAATTCCACCGATGGCGCTATAGACCACTTGGAAAAAAATCTAAAACGACTGTTTCAAAATACGGCTTTGTAATTAAAAAACATTTTAAAAATCCAACAATCCTGGTATTTTTCCCCTTTTATAAATGTCACAACCCTAATCCCTAACATTCCTAATTGTTGACCTGAAAGAGCCGGTCTTGTACATTTGCAGAAATCTAAGGAAAATTGCAAATCCATAATTGTGAGTCATCCTCACCTAAGGGTTAGGGTTAGGGTTTTCAGAACAACTAAAATGTCTCTATGCAGGTGTAGAAAATGTACTTACTTATTATGCTAAATAATGTATTTAGAACCAAAATGTAGTACAAAAAATAAGACGTTGCACATTAAGTTGTCACGAGAGCTGCAAGAGGTGCATGATATTCTACACCCATTGAAGGCAGTGCAGCAACAGCTTTTCTGTAAGTATGGATTTACTAATTGAGGACAAGTAAAACCTGACTCACCAAGAAAGGAGAATTGCAAAGGCAGTTTACTGAGAGGGGTGTTCTGACGTGTAGTTATTGCTGAAGTCCTTGTGTGGTGTACATGGTTCAATGCTCGTTTATGCCTCATGGGAATCAGTGGAGCCTTGTAGGATTGGGTTCCATCGGTGTAGGACAGAGAGATGGGCCTTTGCGGGAAGTCCTCCACCACCAACTCAAATCCAAAAACACTTGGGTTGACGGTGGCATCGTTGTAACGTAAGGAGCAGGAACCCTAACAATGTAAACATTCAGACATTTAGTGAGGCAAAGGCTCAGTCGGGAATTGGAAAATACAGAAGGAAATAGATTTTTAATTTACAAACCTGATCCAAGACAAAGCCTGAAGGTTGGTTACATCCGCTGCACTCTATATTTCTGATATTTCCATATCTGCAGCGAACTGTGTCGCCATCAGCGTCGAAGGACATCAGCTTGTAGGTCCGTGGGCAGTTCTGGGGAACTCTTGAAAGGACACATTAACAAGAGTGAGGAACACTGTTCTGCCCATAAAACCCAAAAGGATTAAATAATCAGAGTTATAACTGCACATGTGAGATAGTAGAGTAAGCACGGCCACAGTGACTTATTTTAGGGTGGCGCCAAACACACCCTCAAATAATTTAAATTAAATTGATCCTTATATGCATATTACACACCCATTTCAAAGAATAAACACAACGCGAGTTGACCTTTTTTTAATGACTATAATTTCATTCAAATGAAAGGAAGCAGTAGACACAGTTATTACATAGAGGCAATTGTAAAGCAATCATCTAACAACTGTTTTGGGAAAGAGGTTTCAGCCGAGGGTAAGGCAGAACTGTAAAGGTTAACACACATTTTGTCACTTTACTTTGTGAGTGCAGAGCAGAAACTGTCTGCAGGACTGCACCTTCATGATACAGAGCGATTTAATCAAACAACAAAATAAAGAAGGAGCTTACCGTAGGAAAGGTAGAATGGCAATGTCTGGGGATCTGTTTGGTTTGCCAGTGTCAGATCTTGATCCCAAATCTACTTGAGTTTGAAATCTCCAACCTGAAACCCCGTTACGTGTTCGGATCCAACAACAGCTACTTGCCCTGTTAGGTGTGGAAACAAATACTGCATTATACAGATGCTTGTTTTTATTTATTATTATAGGATAAGCATCAAAACAACAAATACAAGTGTTTCCAATGCAATTCTGGAGACTCCACAAATATAACATTAGCAGGATTTGAGTCAGAGAAAAAGCTCACCTCAGCTGAAAAGGTTTGTCAGTTGGGACTTTTCTTTGTTGAACTGTTTCTGTTTCACACCATTGTCTGTTGCTTTGCGGTGCATTGGTGCTCCTGTCAATTGTGCCTCTCTGTTGATTAGTGACTAAGCCACAGTTGCCAGTGCTACATCTGTGGTTCTGGGAGGACCGACACCCATCATAGGTCGCCCTGTTGCGAAAGTCCACCTTTGAAAAAAATTAAAATAATAATATTAATGCATATTTGTATCGCTATTTCCAATGTATTTTGTGCTTTGACATATACCAATCAAGGTAACAAGCTAGACAACACAGTTAAAAGAAAACATTGAGGTAAACTATATTTAATGTATGGCAACATTTTTAACAGAAGTGAGTGTAAAAATAACAACGGCATAAATATGAATAAATTAGTTAATTATAAACTGATGCAAAGGTTTAAAAGTAGTTTCTCTCACCCTAAATGATCCATCAGGGTTTCTTCCTTTGTAGCTATAGGTCACGGTTCCCCCGTAGTGATGTGCTGCAGACGCCAGTGAGACCAGCTGAAGCAGGAGCAGCAGAGCGGCAGCCATCTTTTCCCGAATTCACCTCTGTCTCCAAGTATCTGCTGCTCCCATCCACCTGCAGCATCCTTTTATACACACCTGGCCATGGTTCCTCCTGCCAAGTTATCACCTTCATCTATTGAATCAGACCAGCTGCATAACTGGTTCCACAACATTTCAATGTAAATGCTTTAAATTGTAATGTCACCCATAACCCAGAGTGACTGAGTTCAGATCTGTCTTCCCGTAAGTGTGAGCCCCGCTGAATACTTTTGCTTTATTGTCACATTCTTGTCACATGTTAAGTTCTTGGAAGCCGGTCATGCTAGAGTGAAGACAATGCAGCTCTGGTCTGATGTTGATCTGCAGATGAGAGATTAACATTTAAACAATTAAATATTTGAACTCAAGCTTTACTTATACTCAAAGTCAAAGTCAACTTTAATATAAATCTTTCAGTTTGTGTGTACAGACAGAGAGTCGAAATGACGTTTCCAACAATCCCGAATACAAAAATACAATTATACAATATACTGCAGTCAGGTACTGAAAAATATATATTTAGGATCTGTATCAACGGCTGCAGGTTTGCAGATGTATCACAGGTATTTTTTGGGTGGGTTTTCCCTTTCCTGGAGTGAGTTCTAGGTCTTTGTGCATGTGAATGGTCTGCAAAAGGTTAATCCCTGTATTTTATAGCACATTTCAACAATTTGAAAGCAATTCTAATTATTTTACAACAAAAAAAACATTAAAATTAAGTGACATTTAAATACATTTAAAAAAAAGTCATTTTAAATGTCAAGATAATTACTTATAAATAAAAAAAGCTAAAATGGAATAAGACAAATACAAGAATTAAAGATACAGTTCAATGTATGATATGAACACTTATTTGATTAAATCGAAAGCAGTGCAAAAAGCACAAGTATTCAAATTTAAAAGAGTTGATTCGGACCTACAATTTAGATATCAATATTAATCAAAATAAATTGAAAAATTATAATAGTAAGATCAAATAAATGTACAATAATTTGAGTAAATATACAGAATAATTTAAATCATTGTTATAATACAATCATGTGATGTGTGCAGTCACATGCATGTCACAGTGGTAGGAGAAGGGTAATGAAACAACTTTTATCAAAGTCTTTATTCACACCCAAGAGAGGCATCTTTTTCAGGAAAAAAACACAAGACCGGAGAAAGAAGAACGAGGAAGGGAGAGAAAGAGCTTTAAATGTTTTGCCCTCATACTTTTTTACTTTGATTTCTTCTTTCTCAAACGTGTGACAGGCGGGTATGTCCCAGAAGCATTTAAATAAAACATAAATGAAAACCAGTCTTCAGAAACAACAATGGCAGCTTTCACAGTGTGCGACTGATTCACGTGACATCAGAAAAAACAAATCTGTGGTTGACTGAACGGTACCATTTTTAAAACTGTTGAATTCATCCTCCTTGAGTTTCTTTCTACCAAGAACTTAGAGAAACAACCTGCTCTATTCGGCTCATATGATCTGCACCCTATGTAGCTACTTTGTACTTGCAATTGCACACTGACTTTTATATATATTTGAAATAAAAATAACAATACAACTTTGTACATAATGTAAAAAAAGCTAACCCTATTCTATCTATGGTTGATATTTTATAATATACACTGAAAAACACTGAAATGTTGTCTTAAATTAAATGTATTATGTCAATAGACTTCACATAATTGTATTAGGTTAGATCAGGGATGGGCAACTTGGATGGTGGTGGGGGCCACATAATTTATGTACTGGCCACCAGGGGGCCGCAGATTAATTTGGAACACACACACGCACGCACACACGCACGCACGCACACACACACACACACACACACACACACACACACACACACACACACACACACACACACACACACACACACACACACACACACACACACACACACACACACACACACAAATTCCATGTATTGTATGTAATTATTAACAGATATACTAAGTCTGACATCTTCATTGACATTTTACAATCTTTCAGGGAACATCTTCTAATAAGCTCACTAAACAAATATCAGTTCACTGAAATGTTATTTAATATTTACAAGTGGCATGTTTGTATTGAACAGGTTATTTAACAGTGGAATAAAACTATTTTAAACTATTGGAAAGTGCGGGAAATGTGTGTGCATTGAGATTAACCATTAAGATGACATAAACATGAAGTCATGAACACTAACCCAGACATTAGTTGTCTAACTTGAACTTGGCTAAGACACTTGTAGCCTGTCTCTGCATTCCCCTTATTCCACAATAAGGGGAATGTCAGACACCTGTCAACACGCACTCTGCTGTTCCTCAGTGCCGCTCCCCCTCCCTCCCGCTGAAATTATGAATGAAAAGCATATAGTAATCATAAATAACACGGCAGGGTCCGTGACAGTTTGTTTTCATCTGATTTCAAACAAACAAAGTCTTGATTTTTAGAATATTAAACTTGTTTCGCCAAATTCAGATGATAAATACAACTTTTAAGCTTGTAAAGGCATAATTACAAGCGGTAACTTAACGTCACAGCAGGCATAACAACAGCCGGTGTTTCTTGTGAGTGTTTCCCCGGGAAACAAACACAATACACACAATCGCGTCACAGATTATTTCGCGGTATTTGGCTGCCGAACGAAATCATGTACGCAGCTCGCGACTTAACTAGGTATCAGTACTACAAGTGAAGAAATATTTTTTTTTTATTAATTACGTTATTTATAAATTAATCATTTATCGCCACCAATTGCCCATCCCTGGGTTAGATGAAAGCATTAATATTAAGTTGAAATTTGTTCAACTTCATTGTATTACTTGCTTTCAACTAACCTAATACAGGTGTGTGAAATCTGTTGACATAATACATTTCATTAAAGTCATTGTTTCCGTTTTTTCAGTGTAATCAGGATGTGGCGGTAGTATAGAGAATCACTTGACTTTAGCTTGTTCTGCATCTTACATTCTCCTCTACTAGGAAATAAAGGCAATTGCTTTTACATTTTAACATATGACACTATGTAAAAAGCGTGAAATAGAAATAGTTTCACCTGCCTTCTCTTGTGTTTCTTGTGAATGCAAAGTTTCAATGAAAATTCATCTGTTCAGTCTGTGTCATCCACTGTGTGAGAATATACAGAGGTTCAAAATGATTTATACGCCATGATCAGAATAAAATAAAATCCAATGCTAACATTGCATTGCACTACATTAGGAGAAATGCTGCAGTTTAAAAAATGATGCATATATACAATCACAAATGTGCCAAAACACATGCAAATGATGAAACATCTCCACCAACTTGACTACAGACGTGCAGCATTTAGAATACATTCTACAAGCGCTGCACAAACGATATTCTGCAAGATGCTCAAAACACAACAGAAACCAGTAGAATCGATGATAAAAAAAGACGCACTCAAGTGGGACCAGTTATTTTAACAATGTGTTCACATGACTCATTCTGATATTATTGCAGATCTGCTGTAAGCTAGCTAGCTAACGTAGCTAACCTAGTCATTTCAGATATACTGACAAACACTTACAGTTATGAGACAGACTAACTCTGCAACAGAGACAATTGTTCAGCTTTATCATCCTGAACGTGACCAAGCTGTCCCAGCTGTGTGCGTCACTCTTTAGTGTCCCCTGGTCTCCCAGCTGTGTGCGTCACTCTTTAGTGTCCCCTGGTCTCCCAGCTGTGTGCGTCACTCTTTAGTGTCTCCGGGTGTTTCTCAATGTCGAGGACACTTCCTTGGTAGGACATGTCTTCCGAGTCAGGTCCTTCAGAGGCTAGGCAAGAATCCTTCCTGGCATTCGGAGAACGAAGAATGGAACAGGCTAGCAAGTGTGCAGGTGTGCGTCATATGCAAGGCCCCGCCTTAAATTGAGCTTGATTTGTTTGAAGACTCATAACTGATCTGCGAAGATCGAAGATGTACTTGAGTAACTGTATTTTGTAAAAGGATCATCTCTCCAGGACAGAACCACTAAACTAACATAACACGTTATCCTTCTGTTTGCAGCCTTGAAAAGTCCTGGAGGATAAGCTGCCATAAGAAAATCATAAAATCACCATCAACAATCAATAATAAAATGTGTATTCATATATCATACTTGATACCTTTTTTACACATCTTGGTGCACATTGTAGCATAAACCACAAATATCAACAAAAGAGGCAAAGTCAAAACAAGGTTAATTTTAATTATTTATTAATGTGCAAAACAATCTAAGGTCTCATTCAAACCTAATAGTCTGCTTCTCTGGTGCCCACCAGACGACAGTTTGTTCCATTGTTTCATTTTTCAGAAGGTTCGGTTTGCGTTCACACGGGCAAAACTCAAACGGACTATACACTTTAAACACAAGTCATGTGCACATTTACTACGCCACTGAACATACTTACATTTAAATGTGTACTGCCTGGATACAGCCATTTTCCGCCAAAGATTTTGGAAATTGGTCCATGCGCAAAGCATTATGGGGCTTTTAAGACCGCGGAGGATACATATGAGCAGCCTCGAAATATCCCGCAACGAAGGACTCAGTCCTCGGTAGAATTCCAAGGATCCTGTACATTGGAACAGTCCTTTGGCGGGATTCGTTAACGTAGCATCCTGGAAATATTGGCTCTGAAGGATCCTTCCTTGACATTGAGAAACACCCCCCTGGTCTCCCAGCTGTGTGCGTCACTCTTTAGTGTCCCCTGTATTTTCTGGCATACTCAGCTTTTTTCTCAACATTATTTTCAATTTCATAAAAGTTATTCTAATAATGCTTTATTTTCTCCTAGTTTACAAATGTATTCCTCTTACTGCGTCTTAGTATGCACCATTGTACAGCAAAGCAAATTCCTTGTACCTGTTTGGAAATAAACCTAACTAGCTAGGGTTAGGGTTAGAATATAATATAATATAATCCTTTATTGTCATTAGGTACAATGAGATGAGTAGAGCTACTCCTTTGTTTAAGGTGCCATCAAACATACAGA